TTAACATGATAATTGTTTGGTGCATGAATCTCAAAGAGCGAAGGAACTGAATGTCAAGTCCGTGTTCTGAAAATTAGGGCGAACCAACTAATTCAATCAATTCAAGCACGAAAGAGTTATTGGTCTAGTTTGAGCTATGAATTAAACTTTTTTTTTCAGGTTATGACTGACAAAATTTGGGAACATATTTGATTTAAGTTAGTAGGATGTAGCAAATCTTATAAATCCGGATTTATCAAATTCTAGAAGGGTTAAATCTCAAAAACTTGGTGATAATGAATTTAATAAGTCCCATTAAATCATTAAAATTGTTCGATAACCTATGTGGGTATTTAAATGTTTGTTATATTCGCTATAATACAGGATCACAAATAAAGGTCTATTTGGTGCAGTTACAACTTATCAGCTGTAGCTTGGTTGCCTCAGAAAGCTACTGCGGGAAGCTGTTGTTGGGAAACTAACTATTGTTTATTTTAGCATCTTGAAAATATTTGTTTGGCTGTTGTTTATGGACAAATAATTATTTTGCCTCTGTATAGCAATATTATCTATCATAGAACTGTCATTGCCACAGAAGCATAAATTCAATACAAAACAATACAAAATTTGGATACATATCTCACTTAACTGTGAGTACCAAGAGTGCCAAAAAAGAAAAAAACTGTTAAAATTACAATTTATATAATGATTATATTGTTTTTAACATGCAAGCGATGTATGTCCCTGCTACACTGTCATCCAATGATTACATTCATTCCCAATCACAGTTAGTAGTGGAACCTGCTGGACTATCTACCCACCAGAAGAAGTCACACTGCTCTACGATGATTCACGAGTAGTTGTAGAATTATCTAATTGAGCTATGGACCCGACATGACATCAGTAGAGAAGCCTGCAGTCGCAGTGGTAGAGCATTCGTCGGGATGTCCCTAAAATCATTGAGTTCATTATTTATGAATGTTGCAAAAGACAATGTATTTATAAGGAAAAAAATTGAATTTGGTAAAAGATATAATTAAAAAATGACATTTAAAAATTACGAAAAAATGTTTCAAACCAGCAATATAAAATGTAAACTACAAATGCATATGTATAAATAAAATATAGCTTTGAATGCTCAATATCCATTATGAATGTTCACAATATTTTGACAAAAAAAAAATGAATTACATATAGGACTTAATAAATTACAAATAGTCCAATCAAGCTCGTACTAATGCATCAGTGATTTGCTATCGTCATTTCACTGTCACCTTCCCTCTCTATAGTACAAATAATGTCAAGATCATTTTCAACTCGTGACAGGGAATGCCTGAGGGTGGTACTCAAGTGCTTCCAGAGGTACATGCTCCTGATCCTCATCGGCCCTGCGAAAGTCAATGTCATTGCGAGAAGGATATCGTCGAATATAATCATGCAAAGTTATCGGGATAATGACAATATGAGTCTGTTTGGGAAATGTGTAAGATCACATGTCACAGAGTATATCATTTCTTCTTACAAACACTGAAAGTTTTTTTTATGCAACCGCGTTAGGAGGAATGTCTTTTATTAAACAACTTTTTTCTGCCACATGTCACGTTGCTAGCTCGCTTGAAATTCAGTATTTAATATCTCATGTCAGGAAAGGGCTTGAGATATCCTTGTATGAAATGTAATAGGCATCCAATATCCACTGAGTGATATTGTTTGAAATGTATTGCATAATTAGTACAAAGGTTAAAATGAATCAACAAAGTATTTAGAGTTCGATCGTATCATGAGGTGGATGTGGAAAGTTGTATTGAGCATTCCGCGTTGCAGTCATATTTTACTATCGTGCGCACTTTTCTCTAACTTCTCTCCCAATCAGACTTGACGAAAGTGAAACACATGTTGAAGTCACAAACAATCATGACATTCTGCGTATAGGACCTGCAAAGTCCGATGAATGTGATATTCTTATTATTAAGAACCCTTACATCAATGTGAGTTTCATCAATTGCTCTGATGCAATCCTTAAAGAATGACATGTACCGTGCATCACATAAAATTTTCACAGGAGTCAGTGTGAACGTAGCATCAGTTGGTTTGATGACTTGCATGAAAAGGTTCACAAGTGCATTCAAACCCATAAAGAAGTATCTAATAATGGTCTTGGAGGAATGTTAAAAGTGTTTCATTGCTCCTCACATTGATTCTTTCTTTGAAAATATATAAAGGTTATGACAAGTACCTCTTGTGGAGTCGTCCTCGATGACTCATGAAGTCCACAACTTGTATAAAGTTATGTCAATAAATCAATAAATATTGTCTGTTTTATGCCCAACATGTTGTTGAATCTCGCGAGGCGTCCAACAAGCATTTCTCTAACCTATTTGTTCCCAATATATGATGATGTGAAACATGGAGAGAGATGAATGTATTTCTTGTAATATTTATGGATCAATTAGATTGCTGCTAACTCTCCTTCTATGTTTTTCTGTGGTTGAATCCATGCAGGTGTATATCATACTTGTTAAAAAAAAAATTATAAACAAAATACAACCAAAACATTTGTGATATATGAATAGCAAGGAATTATAAAGAACGTGGATCTATAAATATTATGCAGCAGAGTTTTAAACAGTTTAAAGAAACAGATCATAACGTAATAGAAAATGCAAGTATAGTTCCAAACTGTAGCAAATAAAAAACTGGAGTTTCAAATATCCTGAAGATCATAATAACATCGTAGATACGCCACCCTTTTAAAATGGAATCGTGATGAAAAAATCTATGTGGGCGGGATTTTTAAGCAACTCTATCACAAATAAGCGTAGGGGCAAATCCTAAAAAATTTCCCAATTTGCACTAAAGTTTTGAATGACCTGCTCAATGGATTTTGCCTTTGTTGTGTGTTTTTGCGTTGGATGTCAGGTTTTGGAGGAAAACAACTCTACCTTTCTTTTCACTCTCCGCCAGTTGATGCTTAGAACGACGGGTATATTGGACTTCATTGAGGTACAGACTAGGCATTTTGGTCGAATCACTTTATAGGCCGACTGCCAAGTTTTCTTGGGTGTCACAAAACCCCGTCTCACTAGGTGCACATGCATATTTATCTGCAGCAACAACACCTTCACACATTTGATCCAACTTCTCCTCAAACTATGGCTCAAGTCCATAAAGTTTAAATTTATTCCTAGAGGCCACCACCCACAAAATCATAACATACACTTCATTTAATAAATAAAAATGAAATTGACCGAATTAGTTGAAATGGAAAAATTCTTACCGTTTACCTTTATGTCCACCACTTCTTTGGAGCGTCAATAGTTCACTTCACCATATCCTAACCTAAGCTCGTGATCATATTTTTAATTCTTTCCAAAATTTTTAATCTTTCTTGAGTTGATCCTATTTATTCTTCAATTGCATTATATCATACTCTCGGGCCGCACTCTCCTTGAACTTTTTGATAATATTCTTTCACTATTCATTGTTGAAATATGTAGTGGGCCTATTGCCCAGATCAATTTCGACAAGGCAAATGTCACAATAAGATTATTTTTATTTTCTCATCCCATAATGCGGGTGTTGCGGCATCGTTGGCCTTGGCCATTTTTCTGCCATGATAGTAAAAAAAAGAAAACAAACATAGATGAGTATGAGCATTCAAAAATAATAGAACGCTACATTTCTCTCTCTCATTTCAATCTAACTATCACAATATGTGTGTGCGTGTGAGAAATATACTTATATTATCATCACATTACCCCGTGTGATATCACTAATAAATTTCAGTTGCTTTTGATGGAAGTACACTGTCTCATTTTTTATTCTTTTACGCCTCATTTCACAGCGTGTGTGTGAAATATAATATTTTTTTCATCAGAATGCCTCTGGTGACACCACTAGTAAATTTTAACAACTGGAATGAAAACATACATATTTGCTATTAGTTGTGAGGCAAAAAAAAGAAAATTTACGCTCACATCATTGCATCATTCTTTTTACTTATCTTCATCATATGATATTATGACAACGTGTGTGAGTGAGAAATATATTTCTATTTTCATCTGAATGTCACAGGTAGTATCATTAATAGATTTTAGTAGCATAGAATGTTATTATGCATATGTGCTACTAGCTGTGAAGCCACCAGTAAATTTAAATAGCTGAGAATGAAAGTATACATTTTTGCAACTTGCTGTGATGTAAAAAAATGAGATAAAAATTGCTCACATAACTGCCTCATTATCTCTTCTTATATGACTCATTTCACTGTGTGTGTGCGTGCGTGTGAAATATGCTTATCTTCTCATCAGAATGCCACAGGTGGCACTACCAGCAAATTTTAGTGAAATAAAATGATATTATGCATATTTGCTACTAGCTGCGAGTGAAAAAAAAAAGAAAAAGATGTCTCACACCACCGTCTAATTTTCTCTACTTTTCTGTCTCATTTCACAGCGTGTGTGTGTGAGTCTGAGAAATGTGTCTCTCTTATTATCAGAATGCCAAAGATGGTACCACAAATAAATTTCGATGATTTTGAATGAAATTATACATATTTATTACTAGCAGTGAAAAAAAAAACCAGAAAAATATCCACCATACCAAAACCATCACCATATATAAGAAAAAAAAATTCGAATCCACACAATGCAAAGCAACACGCATAATTTGTGTTCGAAGTCCAATGATGGGAGCGCCACATGTCAAGTGGGCCCCACCGAAATACATTGACACTGACTAGTGTTAAAACAATGAAATCCACTTGACACACAATGCCTCATCATTGGACTCCGAATGCATTCCAAATCCTCATGCAATATTTATTTGTTTTTATTTGCGTATTCATCAGCTTGGATTTTGGAAGCTCGAGCAATAGATGTCTCTAATGTAAATGTTTATAAAATCTCAAAATGTTTGCGAAAAAAAATATTTCATACAGGTATCCAATCTCCAACGTCGATCACTGCAATGATATATTTAGTGAACCCACTTTTCATATATAATTTTGGTTGAGGTGACCCTGGAGATTAATGTCCTTATGAAATAATTTTTCTTCGTCCACACGCCCTCTCCCGATTTTGCCCAAAACCGTCGTCTTCGTTACTGAACCCTCGCTATACTGTCGCAATTAGAGTTAACTAGGAAGAAAACGGCTGGATCGTGGCGTACAGAGACCCGAAACTCCCACATCCCTTCTATTTCCTCATCGCTCCTACCCGAAACCATGGAGGCAGATGGAGGAAGGTACTTCATGTATTCTTTTTCGTGCGAATCGCCCGTCCTGGATTCTCTAAATCCGCCGATTCACAGGATTTAGTGAATCCGGGATTTACGCCGGAAATCAGTAAAATCGGGTTTATTTTGTCCGAACTGACCGTCTGGCAGGATTTAGGGCAAATCCAGGTTAAATCCTGCACCAAGTCCGTGACCAGAAAGCCCACAACTGTTCTATTTTAACTAACTCCTTAATTTTTTTTTTAGAAAAACTCACCTTGTTATGAATTATTGAGTTCGATCCCTCATGCAAATGTTTGTCTTCCCTGGTTATTCGTATTTAAATTGTTATATTTTTTTTCTGTGTTATTGGAATTTTCCATGAAAGTGTAATTATTGTAGATAATATTAAGGGTTGGTTTGGCAACAATTAGGAATTAGTAAGTCACGAGAGGATTAAAACCTTAAAACTATTCGGCATGACAAATTTTAAACCTTGCTAAATGCTTAGCATCTGTTTAGTTATTTGTTTATTGAAGTATTTAAGCCTTGTGACTGCCTGATAGCTAAATGTAATAAATCCTGTGAATGGTGGGATTTAAAAACTATTGAATTTGGCTAATAATTGGGTTGAAAGCTGTCTATTTTGACCGAGAAAGTATGCATTTTCATAGCATTGACCAACAAGGATTAAGTTGAGAATATACCTATAATATGATTACGTAAAATAGGTTCATTGAAATTTTGGCAAAATTGTGAGATGAATTCGCCTGAAGTGAACTTTTATATGTTGTTGTCTCGTGATATAACGTGCATGTGAAGACCACAATCCATGCAAAAATGTTAGATGTCTTCTATTGTCTTTCTATGTTTGCCATTCATTTTTATATTCCTTTGGCCATATTTGTGTGTAGATTCATTTATTTGTATTTATTTGTATAGTTTATAGATTTTTTCCAAAATCCATTTGTACCAAGGTTATCCATGGCTATTTCTTGAATCAAACTTAGATGACATCGTTAGTTGCACCTTGTCATTTGGTGATTACGATGTTGCATATCTTTTATTTATCATGAATTATTATGCTCGTATTAGGTGATGTATATGGAAACACACTTTTGGTGAGTAAGCTTCTGATGATGCTATAGAATTGTAGACTTAGATACAAAAGCATTAAGCTTCTTTGAAATGGTAATCATCATTTTGTGGCCTTCTATATTATTGGAAATCCTATTGCAAAAAAGCCACGGGCATGGTTGTTTTGCGAGGGCCTCTCTTTTTTTTCTTGAAATACACAAATACATGCAAACTGCGCTTGAAAACCCTTGAACCCAAGACTTATTGGTTGAAAGACAAAGCTCTCAACAACTAGACCAAGGTGACATGCATGCTTTGCAATGGCCTCTTTAAGCATACTAATTCAAGCCACCTCCAAACATTGATGGTTGGCTCCTTAGCAATATCCTTTAGAATTTCATCCTTCTCAACTCAAGATAATCACACTATGAGCCTTGTTAGTAATACGTCATTGGTTCTTTGCATGTCTTTTCCATGCATGTTACAATGGTATCTAACCTTTGATGCATGAGAAATGCCTTCATCTGTTGTCTCTAAAGGTTGAAGCCATTTTGCCCCATAAGATTCTGGATCACCAATTATATTAACAATATCTTTAATTTTTTATTACTGAAGCTCTAATATCAATTGTACGAGGAATACTGTTCAACATCTTTTTATTAAAGCCTCAATTGAAATTATAAATTTTCTACTCTATAAGCTTTGTTTTTCCTCAAGCCTGAGGTTCTTGAATGAGGAATACGGTTCAACATTTTGAAGAGGATAATTTTCTTTGGAAGGTAAACAAACTTCTTACACCTAAAACATTTTGTTGGCATATTTTGCAATCTTCTAAAATATTTTGTTAGATTCTTGTTATATCAGGATGAGTTCATAAAACGATAGACCTTTCAAATATAAGTTAAGCAAAGCTTCATTTTAATAGATTAAGAATGCATGCAGGATCTATTTAATATCACATAAATTTTTCATAACAACATTCTAAATAGAAAACACCTATATTCAAAACAAGAAAGATTTTTATAACAGTCTAAATAGAAAACACCTATATTCAAAACAAGAAAGATTCAACTCCAAATTGACCAACTAGTTCTAAAATTCTCAACATCTCTAAAATGTCATCAATCTCAACCTTTCCACTAATTTTCCACTAACTCTAGAAATAATGCCACCATCACCCCATCATAGTTCTACATCAAACAAGACGAAGGCCTCCAGGAAACCTCTTATGAATCCCTTAACGAGGTGCTATTCTCTTGTTCCTCCACTTCAACTTCAAATAGTTTATTTGGAGCTTCCTTGGCATGGTTGAGAATATCACATCAATATCTTCAGGACTCTTGAACTCATGCATAATCACGCCTCATTTTTACCCCTCTCAATATAGTATTTAGATGTAATAGAGTTCGATAATTCAGTCATATCAAATTTCTACAAACACCCGTTCTAACTTTACTAATTAGGTTATATTAAAAAATTAATATGCCTAATTTGTTACAAAACGTACATTATGCATCAAAATCTTTTAGCAGATTTATTATAATCATTAATTGAGGAATATGCATATTTGAAATCATGAAAATGAACTATAGAGTGTTTAATAAAATTTATATATGATTAATACATTCTAGAAGTTTTAATTTGCATCATCAACATTTTTATTTATGGTACTTTCAAAATTATATATTTAAAATTCTAAGATAGATGACAAAATTGAGTCAATAACCCTCAATCTCATATATTTTGCTTGAAAAAATAGTTATAATTTTTAATGAGCTAATAATTTAATTGCATAACTAAGTCCAATATAATATCCAAATTGCAAGAATGAGAAATAATAATCTTTAAGCTAACACGAGCATTTTTAATCACAGACATAGTTTAGTCCATTTTTTTATATTATGGTTCGCTTTACTAATTGATTAAGTAAAGGGTATTATCATAAGCAATAAGTATAATTATTTGCATGGCAATGAAATATATCTTCAAATGTCAAATTATTCAATTCACTATATTTGTGAGTTACTGATATCAAATTACTTTCTTTATTTTCATTTCTTTTTCATTTTTGTCAGTTACAGTCTAAAAAGTATTTTGTGATGTTTGTATAGTTTCTGCATTTAGATAATCTTTTTATCACCTAGCATGTTGGCATAATAACGATCAATAAAGTTTGAACTTAATCCAACATAGCAGTCATCTATGGCTTACGGATTCAAGTTGGATTTTATTGCACCAAATTTTCAGTATTGAGGGTTGGGAACTCTTTTTTGTTCCATAAGGCTTGCTTTCCGTCAACAGTTTTATTATTCCCTATTTTAGTCTTTATCATTTGTTAACTTATGCAACATCCTTTCAAAGATCTTTTTCTTTTAACATCTTTATCATATGCATTTAAATTTTTACAGCTGAAATGCACCTTTGATCAGTCAACTTGCATTAAACTGCATCGTAGATATAGTATAGCATGTATAAGTCGACATTTAGGTTTAAATTTCCATTATATTTTATTAAATTATATTAATACTTGAATTATATAGAACTATCATGAAGCATTTTTAATAGATTATAAAATATAGTAGCATCATTGATAATATCAGAGGTACTGTTAACGTGCTCGATATGAAGAGAGTATATTCACTTACACAAAACAATTCAATATAATTATAATTATTCACAAACCTAAGAATAATTTGCTTCCTATATTATTGATTGAGTATATCATCACCATGATAGGATTTTTTTTGTGATCCTTAAGGTTTTTCTTTTCCATAAACAACTTAATAAAACACCAAATTTCTTAATAGAAATTATTTTCTGATTTAAAGCTCAATTCTATATCAACTATCCTCAAAATAATATCTTATTTCAAAAGGATTTCTCCTTAGATATTTAATCTGTCCACCTCAAACCCAACTTGATTTGTGGGAGAAAACACCAAAACTAGATGTCCAACCTCAAGCTTTAGCCTAAAATTTCTATTATTTCCTTTATTTTTTCCCCACGACTTTAAGCCTGAAGCACTCTGTTTTGACCTCCAATTACTTTAGTTTTGGGATGAATAAAGGGTAGGTATTAGTGCTTTAAGCTTAAATTAATTTATTAATGGTTATATAGGTAGTTTGTTTATATTAACTTTTATTTCCTTTAAAATATCATATTAAAATTAAATAAGTTGTTGCATGTCATGAATTTATGGAAAAGTAAATGGAGTGCTACAAGAATTTACTTAAAAGCTATAATAATGGTAAATTGTGTAGAATAACATTTAGATATGTGAAAATCAGGGTATAAATTTTAAGAGTTGGTATTACTTTTATTGTCTTTGAATATATAGCATCATGATCTTTTGTTTCAATAATGTAACTTCCTTCTTTGTCAATTAATCATGCAATTTATTTTTCTCCACCCAAACTTTTCAAAGGTCATCGCCTTCTGTTATTTTTTGCTCGAGATTTCATTATTCATTTTGTAAACAATCAATCTTTTGTCACTATAAAAAAATAGTATTGATAAGATTGGCTACTCGGGCATTTGACATCCAATCAAATGATTCAACAAGCATGTTATCTACTGGGATGTAATCTTTCCCTTGCACTTGCCTTCATCGCATAAATAGTTTAGTTGGACTCAACAAGCATGTTATCTACTGGGATGTAATCTTTCCCTCGCACTTGCCTTCATCGCATAAATAGTTTAGTTGGACAAACTCTTGGTTCCAGTAGTAAGAATTTTATCAACTCCACATTCAAACTTTATTTGGAAGAAGAAGAAATGGAAAAGATCGAATTAAAATTCAAGTAGGAGATGATTTACCAAGTTTGATATCTTTTAAAGCCCAATGTAAGTATGAATTTTCATCTTTTTCATCAAATGCTTTATTTTGTGCTCTGTCATAGCTTTTCTTTTTGGGTTCATGTCTCCATTGATACCCTTGGTAATTGCAATTTAACTTTTTTTTTTTTAATTGGGGACAATGGTGTTTTAGATGGAGCTCATGGGCTTAGCGAAATCCTCTTTTAATATTTGCTTGATCTCTTTAGTGGAAAAATGATGGATCTACTAACATGAAAGGATTATGTTGCTTTGACTTGAAAGTATCTCTTTCCTTAGTGGAGGATAGGTTTCATTCTTTGCGCATATGGATGGTGTTTGCATAGTTTATTGTGTTATAATGGAGAGATTAGAAGAAATCTCAATTTAAGAATCCAAATGATGTACAATTTGTTTTTTATCCAATGGTACTGGCTTCGTTGAAGAATTCATCCCCATGGCTCACCAAGTGAATTTTCTTTGAAGAATGCGTACTCTAGTAAATGCTATATGACTTGCACTTGGCAATTTTCCATTGAAAAATGTTCCGATATTTTCTTTTTTTCATGTTTTCTTGGAATAGCATCCATAAAAAGTTTAGCAATTTTTGACGAGTAGATAAGTCATAGCAAATTTTAAAGTCAGTTGAAAGGGCATACAAAATTTTTGAAGTTCTAATTCTTGGAAAAAATTCACTAGGAGAGAAATAGAGAATAGTATTTAGATGTTATAATTTATATGCAGGCATGATGTGTCCAATGTGATAAACAAATTCATATATATCTTCCTTAACTTCATATGCCATTGAAAATATATGCTAAAGGCAAGAGGTTAGAATTATCAATCACTAAAATCATTATAAAAATAAATCTATCAAACCACATGACTTTGCCTTAAAATTGCATAGTGGGAGTTTCGTTGAGACTCCATCTTCTACATTGCCAAAGAACCCCACAAGGATGATATTATTAACTAGAATATTGATTCACTACTTCTTATTTATACTTTTAACATTACTCATTATGAGTTTGGATAAATCCATCAAATTTTATTTAGAATATATATTTTTTTAGTGATTCTATATATTGTGTTTTTTACTTGACATAAACACATGAAATTGTTGGTGCCCACCAATCGTTAATTATCGCCACACCACCTCAATATTTACCTTTTTTCTAAAATCCTACATAATCATTACTTATTATCCCAATTATGAACTGAAACCCCAATTTGCTATAAATTATTAAACCCATTTTAGTGTTCTCTTTCCTTATCCTTGATTTGATTATGCTTCCCATGACCTCAAGCTCTAATTCCTTTTAGAGATTATTTGAAGTTATTGTAAGAATTGTTGTCTCCATGTTTGTGAGAGCATCATCTAATCGAGCGCAGAATTTCTTCCTTTGCTGTGCTGTCATTATCTCTTTTTAACAGTAGATCTTAAGGGTTATTACTCGAAAGATTTGATGAAATGCTCCTTTTATGTTATCACCAGTGTGACTTATTTGCAATAGTTAATAGATTAGGGTGTTATTCCTATAATACTAAAAAAATTGGTGCTATTTTAATAAAGTAATTTTTTACCGTGGTACACTGGGGAAACTCTTTTTATTGTCTTGTTGAGCAGGATCCATCGTCGTAACTCGTATTTAGTTTTATCCCTTTATGGCTTTAAAGATTCCTTATTTTCAAATAAATTGTACGCATAGGATTTTAATTATAAATACTTCTCTTTTTCAACATTAGTATGTGTCTGGGGATTTTATTTTTGAATGTTAAGCAATAAATCATCAAGTTTGTGGCTTAAACTTTATTGTATTTTACTACATTCACTGCTGTTAAAGGTCTAGGTTGATCTGGTTTATTTCATTTATGTTTTTTCCTATATTCATTATTTTGTGTTCATTGTGTTTTTATTTCAATCGAGATAAAAACACAATCCTGTATCGTCGTTGTGGCCAATCTGAATTTCATATCATAGGTTTGGTTGAAGACAGAGCAAACATTATTATTCTTTCTTTTTAGGTATCCTCAACCATTTCTCATTGGAAGGCTTACATGCATACCACTCAATTAGTATGTATTTACATATCTCACACCTAAACATCAATTTTTACATGTAAATGTCATCTTGCTTATGTATGAAATTATGTATTTCACTTTTTTCAAGTAAAATTAGTTATTTTTTGCTGTGATGTTTTAGATGGTATCAAAAGGCAAAGTTTAACTTCGAACCTCATATTATAGGCTTGGTTGAAGTTTGAGCGAACATTATTCTTCTTTCTCTTTCGGTATCTGCAACAATTTCTCATTGGAAGATTTACATGCATACCACTCAATTTTTATGTGTTTACATATCTCAAACCTAAAATTCAACTTTTACATATATATATGTGCCATCTTGCCTACTCAAACCTAAACTTCAAGTTTTACATATATATGTGCCATCTTGCCTATGCATGAAAAGATGTATTTCACTTTTTATACGTTAAGATAGAGGCATTCTTGAAAATAGTGGTATTCTTGATGCTGTATGAATGATTTTTGATGGTATAAATTTAGAAAGGAAAGTTTAGGTGTTAGATATGTAAAACATAAGAATTGAGTGTACTCTCATTTTCAATACTCTCAGTTGTGTGGTTATTGTGCCTTTCCTCTAGGTAGTCCTTCCTGTATCTTACATAACAACACTAATATTTGCATTTATGATTTTCCACCCACCTGTTTTTAACTCAACTACTTCGTTATCTTCTTCTGTTGATTGCATAACAACACTCAACTGTTGAACTTTTACTGTTTTATATAGATTTTTTTTTTCTTTTGCAGAAACGACCATCTTTGCCTTTAAATTATGTTCTGCATCCTCTCATCTTCTTGGATAGCTTCATTTATCAAGAGAGAATGAAGACCTAATGTTTATGCTATTATCATCCCAGAGATGAGCGCAGGTGAACCTTTAATTTATTTGTGGTTCAATTATCGTCTACCTTTTTGGTTACTTTAATTTTTATTCTAGATTTTGCACTGCAATTTTCGATTGGGGCATTTGCATACATACCACATAATTCTTATGTATTTTCATATCTAATTCCTAAAGTTTGATTTTTTGCAGTTATAACACTCAAATATTTAAATCACATTCAAAATACCACTATTACTAACTTATAAAATGCGGAATATGCCTTTTCTAACATGTAAAGTGGTATAAATGTAAAAAGTTAATGCTTAGGTGTTAGATATGTAAATTCGTCAGAATTGTATGATATGTATGTAAATTTCTTTCAGTTTTTTCTGGTGATGAAAACTAGTAAGTAAAAGCTTGATTAGCTTGGAAAAACTGTTACTTAGTAGCTTTTAAAATGAATTATTGATCAAAATTAGGATATTGGTATATTATCAGTTGGATATTTGGTCGAGGGTTGGTGTGATGTAGTAAATTAATACACTGAGATCTTATGGTTGTCCCCATTATTTGTTTGATTATGATATATTTTATTTAATGGAAGATTTACATGCACACCACTTAATTCCTATGTATTTACATATCTTACACCTAAACTTCATTTTTTACATATATGCCACATGACCAGTGCGTGAAAAGGTGTGTTTTACTTTTTTTTTTATTGTTAAGTTAAAATGATAGTATTTTTGATATGCTATGAAAGATTTGGGTGGTATTTCACTTATTCATTTACTCAAATTCTGTTTTTCAAACCACTTATGTTTTGCATTTCTATTCTACAGCTGAGAAGGTTGAAAAAGTTGATTCAAGTAAATATGACATTTTTTTGGTTCTTGGCTTTTTGTCTGAATTCCGCCAAATAACTATAAGTAGATTCAGCTTGGATCTCCATTTAAATGTTAATTGAATAATTAAATGATTGCATATATTGTTATCTTAGTTTTGAGTTTCTCTGTCATTCTAGTAATTCAAGTATTCTTTAATATTGAGAACATTGATGTTGATCTCCGATCGAGTAAACTGAAAAGAATTTAAGTATTCTCTCATATTGAGAGCATTGATGTATATTGAGAGCATTGATGTTGATCTCCGATCGAGTAAACTGAAAAGTACCAAAATAGTCCACGGACTATTTACATTGTGCCATTTTAGTTCCAGTGTTTAATAAAAGTGTTAAACTAGTCCCCAGACTGTTTTAATGGGATCAATGGGACCAAAACAGTCCTTATTGGGGTTTTTATCAACCCATATTAAAAGAGTGAGGAGATTAAATTGATACTTTTATTATCTCTGGGATTAAAATGCTCCACTGCATAGAGTCAAGAGATTATTTTGACACTTTTCTCATTTCAGGTCAGTCCTTGTATAGAATTTATTATCCTAAGCTATACCTTTGTTATTGACCAGTTTTGACTAGTTTTGACTATTCTTTTTTTTTTGGGGTATCTTTTTCAAATTGAAAAGCACAGTAAAGAGTTTGCAGTGATTGTGTAGAAATTGGGAGAGATGCAATTAGACATGGTTTTATTTGAAATTCTCACTTTTGTGGGGGGCATTTTGCAGAGATATTTGACACTATGTAAGGGTTCTTTTGGTAGAAGAAGCTTCTAGGTAATCTCGTTGAATGTACACCCGGAACAAAAATCGTCAGTTCATCGACAGCTTTTCTTTTGTGTTATCCTGTTGCTGGCCTTCAAGTCTTTACATTATTAGTATTTGTTATACCTGCAAAATCAATTAGGGAATACATGTCTTTATGCTTTAGTTAAGCCAAATTCTCACTCTTAATTAATTTAAATTAAATTAAAAAGCTTTTAGAAAAGGATTATCTTACATTAATCAATTCATTTGTATGATTTCCTCGTGATCTGATTGGTTTGCGGCATTTTTTTTTTGTTTTGGCTATTGTTTCATGGCTTTCACCATCATATCCTAATTATATCATTAGTTGATGTTATGGAAACATTAGATGATGTTATGGAAAGCAATATATTAGGAGGTTTGATTATAGGAAATCTAATTAGAGGAGATCTAATTGTAAAATCTTTTATATAGTAGAGATATTCTTAATCTATAGAGATTGGGAGTATCTATATATATATATATATATAACATGTCTTTAATGGGAATAAGAAAGAAGTCTTTTCCGTTACATGGTATCAGAGATTCGTCGAATCCTTTTTCTTTGCCTTTGTTTGCATTCCTCTTTCGGCTTTGTCGATGACTTTGCTTGCTTCCTGCTAAGTGATCGTCAATGTCTTGCGACACCATCGCCTACTTAGGTTAGCGCCTTCGACTACTTTCTACGACGGCATTGTCTGCTTCTACGACGGCATTGTCTGCTTCTTGCGAGTAGGTCGACGACTTCAACTTCTTCCTACGAAGCAAAGCTTGAGCGAGCTCAGTCTTGACTCGTGTTTGTCTCTTTTGAAATTGGCTCATGTTCGAAATGTATTTGTGTTTAACTTGATTTACATATTCTTATTTATGTTCGACTTATGTTCGACTCGAAATTGACACATTTAAATTAATTAAAAAATAGGTGTATGGTATCAGACTCAAACCTGCACCAATTCTGTGTAGTAGAAGATGCAAAAACACATATTTCTACCTTGCATACCCATATTTCGACTCGAATGTGTGTGTTCAGCTCGATTTACATATTCTATGCAGTAAAAGAAGCAAAACCACATATTTCTACCTGCTCAAGTAACAATAATACTTGTCTTCTTTCCACACTATGAGTCATTAATTTTGGTACTACATATCACATGACAAGTAATCCAAAAACTATTTTTTGCCTTGCATGCCCATATTTCCTCCATCACTTTAACAGATGGATATACCTTTAATGTTTCTGGTTCTGGCACCATCAGTCTTACACTCACATTGCCTCTAATTTCTATTCTTAGTTTACCTCATTTTGCTTTTAATATTGTTTATGTTAGCAAAATCTCATGTGTTCTTAATTGTTTTATCTTATTCTTTTCTCATCATTAACTATTTTAGGATCTAATGACAAAGAAGATTATTGGTAAATGATGAGAATCGAGGCGGGGGTTATTTTGGATAATTAGGTAACTTGACCCGTTGCATGTTCTAGCACCTTATCTCCCTTTGAGATTCATTGTCGATTAGGACATCCATCCCTGTCAATATTGAAAGGGTTGTACCTTTAGTTTCAACAGTTATTATCTTTAAATTGTGTGTCGTGTCAATTTGCTAAACACCATTGTTTGTATTATGTTTCCAAAATTAATAAGAGAGTCATTCATAGTTGAGTTAGTCATTTTGATGTGTGAGGACCTTGCCTTAATATTATTTAATGGATTTCAATATTTTCACACTTTTGTAGATGATTTTTCTCTTATGACTTGACTTTACTTTATGAAAATTTTTAATGAGTTTTTGTCACATTTTTTATTTTTTTTGTGCTGAAACTAAAACTCAGTTCAATGTTTCGATTAAGATTTTGAAAAATCTGTTTCGATTAAGATTTTGAGAAATGATAATACCTATATTTTTCTCCACCCTTTCTGGAGTACATAACACAAAATGGGATGTTTAACTAATCATCCTATGTAGATACTCGATCCTAAAATGTGGTAGCTCAAAGGAAAATAAACATCTTGAGACTGCTAGAGCTCTTTTATTTCAATGAATGTGCCTAAATAGTTTCGGGCGGGCGCAATTTCTACTCCATGTTATTTGATAAATTAGATGCCTTCTACTTCTTTAGAGAACCATACACCCTACTAAGTTTTACTTTCAACTAAATTTCTCTTTCCTATTGAACCACAAATATTTGGGTATACTTGTTTTGTGCATGATACTCGTCCACAAGTTTCTAAATTAGACTCTTAGTTATTACGGTGTCTTTCTAATATATTCTCAACTGCATAAAGGGTATCAATACTTCTTCCCTCTTAAACAGGTACATGATTTCTGTTGTTGTCGCATTTCATACTTCATTTTTTGTAATTCATTGGTATCTAAATCCTCACAAGATTCTGATGAGTCGTTAATGTATCACATCGTAAGTTCATATCCCGCCCCAGCTCCACCTCTAGTGCCTCAGCCTATACCATCTATCACTAATGTTTACTCGAGAATATCTTGTTCCGTTCCCATGATCTTAGTCCGACGCCGGTATCATTTTCCTCTGTGGATTCTTCTTCTAGTGACCTTCATTTTCTTTTTGTTCTTAGAAGAGGTAAACATTAATGCGCCTATCCTATTTTCTCGTGTTAATTATAATCAATTGTCTTCTAATTCTTGCTCTCTTATTTCTTCTCTTGAGCATGTTGAGGTTCCAAGATCTGTTCAACATGCCCATCCCATTCTAGGTGGCGGCGACAATGCTTGATGAGATGAATGCCTTAACTAAAAATGGAATTTGTGAACTAGTTGAGCTATCTTATGACAAGAAGCTTGTTAGCTGTAAGTGTCTTTGCAGTAAAATTACTTTCTTATGGATTTGTGCTCGTCTCAAAGTTCGGTTACTTGCGAAGGGTTATGCCAAAACTTATGGGATCTACTACTTAGAGACGTCCTCTTCTGTAGCTTAGTTGACGTTCGTTCGTCTACTCCTGTCATTTACTGCAATGAATAAGTGGCCCTGGACAACTAGATGTGAAGAATATTTTTCTCCATGGTGATCTTTGGAGGAGGTCTACATAGAGCAACCCCTTGGTTTATGTGGATTCAAAGAAAGTATGCTGTCTTCAGAAGTCCTTATATTGACCAAAGCAAGCACTCGAGCATGGTTTGGAAAATTTAGCCAAGCAGTAGAAGGGTTTGGGATGCAGAAAAGTAGATGTGATCACATTGTATTCTATAAGCAATCTGCTTCAGGAATCATTCTATTGGTGGTTTATGTTGATCATATTATTATTGAAATTATTTTCTTAAAATCAATTGAACATTAAATATTTGAATTCATTGAAGTATTTCTTGTGGTTTGAGGTGTCAAGGAGCAAGAAGGGTTTCCATCTATCTCAACGAAAATATATGTTGGATTTGTTTGCAAAAAATGAAAAATTAGAGGTCAAATCATACACTGCTGTGATGCTTTCTAATCAACAACTTATCAAGGATTGAGAGCTTTTAAATTATCTTGAATCGTATGAAAAATTAGTGGAAAAATTAAACTATTGCACAAAAAATCATCCTAATATTGTATATTAAGTTAGCATTATAAGTCAGGTTATGTCTTCCCCCACAAATCATTATTGGTTAGCTTTGGAACTACTGTTATATTACCTCAAGGGAGATCCTGGACAAGCTATTTGATATTAGGATCACGTCATAAAAATATTGAATGTTTCTTTAATGTAGACCAAGCAAGTTCCAAGAGTGATTGAAGATCCATGATTGGATATTGCGTCTTTGTTGGTGGTAATTTGGTTTCATGGAAGTGTAAGAAGCACAATATAGTGTCACAATCTAGTGCAAAATCTGAGTATCAAGCAGTGACAAAAGCTTCAAGTGAATTGTTGCGGGTTTTCCAATTATTGGCCTTCTAACAAAGTTATGGTGTGATAATCATACTGCAATCCTTATTGCTTCAAACCCTGTCTCCCATAAATGAACTAAGCACATTGAGATAGATTGTCATTTTATTCGTAAAAAGTCTCAACAAAATTTGATTCCTACAACTTATGTAAAGATTGGGGAACAACTTGAGAACATTTTCATGAAGGCTCTTAATGGAGCTAGAATCACTTATTGACAAACTGAACATCATAAATATCCATGCTCCCGCTTTAGGGCGAGTGTTATGGAAAATAATATATTAGGAAGCTTGTATATTAGAAAGTTTGATTATAAGAAATCTAATTATAGGAGATTTAATCAACTACTCTTTTCTTTATTTGATATATTCCTAATTTGTAGAGATTTGGAGTGATGCATGTAAGATATGTCTTTAATGGGAATAAGAAAAAAAATGAAGTCTTTAGTATTACAGATGAAATATTAGTGTTTATACAAAGCAAATATTTTAATGTATACTTGTTGAGGCAATGGCCAAAATGGTTCATATATTTTTTTGGTGTCTACTTTATTTCAAGAGTTTATTGTGTAATTAATTTGTCCCACAATTTTTTATTTAAAATGTGTTATTTAATTTCTTTATTTTCAATTTTCAACTTGTTCTATTTGGATTGATGTCATGACCAAGTTTTTTTCACAATTCTTATGAATCTATAGACAATTAATTATAGATCAACACATACCATTTTTTCACTTATTTGGGTTTTAAAAGCAATTTTGGCCAAGCAGGTGGTGCTTTTGGTGGAAATAGGGGTGCAAAACCTGTACCGCCGGAAAAGGGCATATTTCCCTTGGATCATCTTCATGAGTGTGATTTGGTAGATTTTTTATAATTTCCAATCTCTTAGATCCATTTCATTTGCTATTTTATCATATTTACATATCAAACACCTAAACTTTTTTTTTTGCATTTATGCCCCCAAGACTTTCATATCTCCGAAAACATGTCAATCATTTGAACTTTTACAAAGTGAAATACGCCTTTTTATGCATAGGTAAGGTGGCATGATGTAAAGATTGAAGTTTTGGCCTATATATGTAAATTCATAGGAATTGAGTGGTGTGTATGTAAATCTTCCTTTATAATATTATGCTTGATAATATTTTTCATTGTGTTACGGTTTGGCTCTCTGCTTTTGGCAGGAGAAAAAAGAGTATGTTGACTGCCTCAAGTCCTCTAGATTCCAAACCGAAAAGTGCAGGCATTTGTCGAAGAAATATTTACAATGTCGAATGGAAAGGTATGTTTATGTTTCATTCACATATTTGATTTTTTAAAACAAGGTTTTTTTTTTTTTTTGTTTTGATAGTTGAAACTAAAAAAAACAAACTACAACTATTATTTTTATTTTGCTAGATCGGCTAAATTGACTCATGTTTGAAATTGCTCTTGAACACTGTATTCGTGTTTGACTCGATTTACATATTCTTGTTCGTGTTCAGATCAAAATTGATTCAGTAATTAATTAGAAAAAATAGACTGCAGGGCATTTGAAATTGTTATGATTTGAACTTAGATATAAATACATATAATATTGTATTAAACAAATAATATATATAATATATTATTATATAATAATATATATAATTCTTTTTTTGAGCTAAAATGAGCCTAACACGATCGACAAATGGTTGTTTTTGTTCGGCTCGTTCATAATTTGAGCTTAAAAAATTTGATCGTGTTCGGCTTATTTAATTAACAAACAATTCAAACATGACTACACGAGCTACTTAACGAATTGAACACGAATTATTTGCAAAGAACTAGCTTTTTTGAATATGTATGTAAATAGTCCTTTGCTCAATTGCTCATTGATGTTTCTCTAAAACTATCTTTTTTTTCTTTCCAGAAACCTGATGGCCAAACAAGAGAGAGTCATTCATAGTTGAGTTAGTCAATTTGATGTGTGGGGACCTTGCCTTAATATTATTTAATGTATTTCAATATTTTATCACTTTTGTAGATGATTTTTCTCTTATGACTTGACTTTACTTTATGAAAATTTTTAATGAGTTTTTGTCACATTTTTTATTTTTTTTGTGCTGAAACTAAAACTCAGTTCAATGTTTCGATTAAGATTTTGAAAAATGATAATACCTATATTTTCCTCCACCCTTTCTGGAGTACATAACACAAAATAGGATGTTTAACTAATCATCCTATGTAGATACTCGATCCTAAAATGTAGTAGCTCAAAGGAAAATAAACATCTTGAGACTGCTAGAGCTCTTTTATTTCAATGAATGTGCCTAAATAGTTTTGGGCGGGCGCAATTTCTACTCCATGTTATTTGATAAATTAGATGTCTTCTACTTCTTTAGAGAACCATACACCCTACTAAGTTTTACTTTCAACTAAATTTCTCTTTCCTATTGAACCACAAATATTTGGGTATACTTGTTTTGTGCATGATACTCGTCCACCAGTTTCTAAATTAGACTCTTAGTTATTACGGTGTCTTTCTAATATATTCTCAACTGCATAAAGGGTATCAATACTTCTTCCCTCTTAAACAGGTACATGATTTCTGTTGTTGTCGCATTTCATGAAAAATGATACCGGCTTCGGACTAAGATCATGGGAACAAGATATTCTCGAGTAAACATTAGTGATAGATGGTATAGGCTGAGGCACTAGAGGTGGAGCTGGGGCGGGATATGAACTTACGATGTGATACATTAACGACTCATCAGAATCTTGTGAGGATTTAGATACCAATGAATTACAAAATATGAAGAGGTAAACATTAATGCGCCTATCATATTTTATCGTGTTAATTATAATCAATTGTCTTCTAATTCTTGCTCTCTTATTTCTTCTCTTGAGCATGTTGAGGTTCCAAGATCTGTTCAACAAGCCCATCCCATTCTAGGTGGCGGCGACAATGCTTGATGAGATGAATGCCTTAACTAAAAATGGAATTTGTGAACTAGTTGAGCTATCTTATGACAAGAAGCTTGTTAGCTGTAAGTGTCTTTGCAGTAAAATTACTTTCTTATGGATTTGTGCTCGTCTCAAAGTTCGGTTACTTGCGAAGGGTTATGCCAAAACTTATGGGATCTACTACTTAGAGACGTCCTCTTCTGTAGCTTAGTTGACGTTCGTTCGTCTACTCCTGTCATTTACTGCAATGAATAAGTGGCCCTGGACAACTAGATGTGAAGAATATTTTTCTTTATGGTGATCTTTGGAGGAGGTCTACATAGAGCAACCCCTTGGTTTATGTGGATTCAAAGAAAGTATGCTGTCTTCAGAAGTCCTTATATTGACCAAAGCAAGCACTCGAGCATGGTTTGGAAAAGTTAGCCAAGCAGTAGAAGGGTTTGGGATGCAGAAAAGTAGATGTGATCACATTGTATTCTATAAACAATCTGCTTCAGGAATCATTCTCTTGGTGGTTTCTGTTGATCATATTATTATTGAAATTATTTTCTTAAAATCAATTCAACATTAAATATTTGAATTCTTTGAAGTATTTCTTGTGGTTTGAGCAAGACGGGTTTCCATCTTTCTCAACGAAAATATATGTTGGATTTGTTTGCAAAAAATGAAAAATTAAGGGTCAAATCATGCACTACTGTGATGTTTTCTAATCAACAACTTATCAAGGATTGAGAGCTTTTTAATTATCTTGAATCGTATAAAAAATTAGTGGAAAAATTAAACTATCGCACAATAAATCATCCTAATATTGTATATTAAGTTAGCATTATAAGTCAGGTTATGTCTTCCTCCACAAATCATTATTGGTTAGCTTTGGAACTAATGTTATATTACCTCAAGGGAGGTCCTGGACAAGCTACTTAATATTAGGATCATGTTCGTAAAAATATTGAATGTTTCTCTAATGTAGACCGAACAAGTTCCTAGAGTGATTGAAGATCCATGATTGGATATTGCGTCTTTGTTGGTGGTAATTTGGTTTCATAAAAGTGTAAGAAACACAATATAGTGTCACAATCTAGTGCAAAATCTGAGTATCATTGTTATTTTGTTCGTAAAAAGACTCAACAAAATTTGATTCCTACAACTTATGTAAAGATTGAGGAACAACTTGAGAACATTTTCATGAAGGCTCTTAATGGAGCTAGAATCACTTATTGACAAACTGTACATCATAAATATCTATGCTCCCGCTTTAGGGCGAGTGTTATGGAAAATAATATATTAGGAAGCTTGTATGTTAGAAAGTTTGATTATAGGAAATCTAATTATAGGAGATTTAATCGCCCAATCTTTTCTTTATTAGATGTATTCCTAATTTGTAGAGATTTATAGTGATGTAAGATATGTCTTTAATGGAAATAAGAAAAAAATGAAGTTTTTAGTATTACAGATGAAATATTAGTGTTTATACAAAGTAAATATTTTAATGTATACTTGTTGAGGCAATGGCCAAAATGGTTCATATATTTTTTTGGTGTCTACTTTATTTCAAGAGTTTATTGTGTAATTAATTTGTCCCACAATTTTTTATTTAAAATGTGTTATTTAATTTCTTTATTTTCAATTTTCAACTTGTTCTATTTGGATTGATGTCATGACCAAGTTTTTTTCACAATTCTTATGAATCTATAGACAATTAATTATAGATCAACACATACCATTTTTTCACTTATTTGGGTTTTAAAAGCAATTTTGGCCAAGCAGGTGGTGCTTTTGGTGGAAATAGGGGTGCAAAACCTGTACCGCCGGAAAAGGGCATATTTCCCTTGGATCATCTTCATGAGTGTGATTTGGTAGATTTTTTATAATTTCCAATCTCTTAGATCCATTTCATTTGCTATTTTATCATATTTACATATCAAACACCTAAACTTTTTTTTTTGCATTTATGCCCCCAAGACTTTCATATCTCCGAAAACATGTCAATCATTTGAACTTTTACAAAGTGAAATACGCCTTTTTATGCATAGGTAAGGTGGCATGATGTAAAGATTGAAGTTTTGGCCTATATATGTAAATTCATAGGAATTGAGTGGTGTGTATGTAAATCTTCCTTTATAATATTATGCTTGATAATATTTTTCATTGTGTTACGGTTTGGCTCTCTGCTTTTGGCAGGAGAAAAAAGAGTATGTTGACTGCCTCAAGTCCTCTAGATTCCAAACCGAAAAGTGCAGGCATTTGTCGAAGAAATATTTACAATGTCGAATGGAAAGGTATGTTTATGTTTCATTCACATATTTGATTTTTTAAAACAAGGTTTTTTTTTTTTTTTGTTTTGATAGTTGAAACTAAAAAAAACAAACTACAACTATTATTTTTATTTTGCTAGATCGGCTAAATTGACTCATGTTTGAAATTGCTCTTGAACACTGTATTCGTGTTTGACTCGATTTACATATTCTTGTTCGTGTTCAGATCAAAATTGATACAGTAATTAATTAGAAAAAATAGACTGCAGGGCATTTGAAATTGTTATGATTTGAACTTAGATATAAATACATATAATATTGTATTAAACAAATAATATATATAATATATTATTATATAATAATATATATAATTCTTTTTTTGAGCTAAAATGAGCCTAACACGATCGACAAATGGTTGTTTTTGTTCGGCTCGTTCATAATTTGAGCTTAAAAAATTTGATCGTGTTCGGCTTATTTAATTAACAAACAATTCAAACATGACTACACGAGCTACTTAACGAATTGAACACGAATTATTTGCAAAGAACTAGCTTTTTTGAATATGTATGTAAATAGTCCTTTGCTCAATTGCTCATTGATGTTTCTCTAAAACTATCTTTTTTTTCTTTCCAGAAACCTGATGGCCAAACAAGATTTGACTGAGCTTGGCTTTGATGAACAAAATGAAATGAACACTTTTGAAGTGGGCAACAAATAGATGATAAAGTGGTCCGTGGTGATGAATTATTGTTGATCATTGTTGTTTTTGCATGTGATTCCCATGCAAATATGGGCCAATATTATATCTTTTTTTTGAAGATTTACATAGATGTCCATCAATTCTTATGTATTTAGATATCTAACACTTGAGCTTCAATTTTTGCATACATACCACCTGAAGGTTTGTTTGAAAAGATGTATTTCACTTTTTGAAAGCTAAAAATTGTGGTATTTTTTGATGTGATATGAAAGTTTTGGGTGGTACACATGTAGGGCTTTCAAAAAAGCATTTATTTATATCTAATTTTAAATCATAATATTTCATGTGGTAATGTGGTTAATCCCTTATTTTCTATATATTTGATCTAGGTTCGAATCTCACACTTTACATCTATTTTTTTCAATTTAATTTTAACGAGTCAATTTCGAGCGAAACACGAACATAAATATTTAAATCGAGTCGAACACGAACACGCTGTTCATAAACCAATTTCGAATGAACCGAACAAGAGTCAAGCCTGAGCTTGTTCAAGCTCGGCTCGTTTACAACCCAATACACATGTATTTGTAATTTTGTAAATTTTTCTAATGTCATAAATGTTTACTGATTAATAGAGGATTGAATGATAAATTCTTTATGGAATATTTATGTACATATCACATATTTCTCATGTATTTACATATCTAACACTTAAATTTCTTTCGAACATTTATATCACTTCACATATGCTATGCTTGAAAATGTGAATTTTACATTTTCTTTAATTGTTAATAGCCATGTTTTGAATGTGATATGAAATAATTGAGCGTTATAAATGCAAAAAAATTAAAGTTTGGATGTTAGATATTTAATTATATATAAAAAAATGTAATATGTAAGTAAATATCCCATTTTATATTATGCATAATTATATGATATAAATTTTATTCAATTATAGGAGGTAAGAGCCGCCCCAGACAGTCTTGTTGAGTTGCTTGATTAAATAACTTGGGCGGACCAATAAAACCATGTGTGCTCGGTGAACAACTCGTGTTTGATTTAATTAACGAGTAAAGTGTCAAAATAGTCCCTGATTATTTATATGAAGTCGCTTTAGTATAGTCTCTTTAAATCAGGGCTAGAATAATACTCATAGAAGATTATTAGAGCTCAATTTTAGAATATTTGAGCATTATTTTGATATTTTTATAATGCCTCAGATAAAAAAGATCTAATGTAACTGGAAGCATGTGCACTAAATGAACAACTCAAGTTTTATTTAATTAACGAGTATAGTGCCGAAATAGTCTTTGATTATTTACATGTGTTGTTTAGTGTCAAAGCTTATAGAAATATCAAAATAATTTTTCAGAATCTTTAAATTTAGGTTGGAATAGTCCTTATTGAAGATCATTAAAGTTAATTATTTTTGTTTTTTTATAAAGCCCGAGAGTAAGACGACCAAATGTAAATAGTCAGTGACATTTTACTCTTTAATTAATTATTGATCAAATATGCTTAAAAATTAATATGTATGTTAATTTAATATAACAAAATTATTTCTTTATTGGAATAAAATAATTTATCAATATTTATTTATATTATTTTATTATAAGAAAGTTTATATGTAATTGATGTATATTATCTTATTTAATTGATGTAGGCCAGTTATTTTCAATTCTTTATTTGTTTAATTTTATTAAATTATTATTAATAATTTAATATAAAAATTTAAGCATTTATTCAAAATTTTAGTCGTTGAATTACTCATTTAATTATTATAAATGAATAAAGTATGAACATATATATGAGACATGTAAATTCAATCAATATCATATTGAGCTTGATTATTACCTTGTGTATAAGTTGGGTTCCTGCCCTTACATTTGATGTACCCATATATAGGTATATATATAATATTATTGAAAAATAAGATATATAAAGGTTAAAATAATTTTTTGGCCCATTTTAAATTAAAAAAAAAAATATAAAACATTAAAAACCATCATCAAGTCACATTTGTTTGTTCCCATTGCAATTCAAGGGAAAATGATAGAGAGAACATATGCCTACCTTGATTAGGCCTTCTTGAAATAGCATCTCAATTACTTCCTTCAAAAAATAAAGAGGCCAAAATGGTGCGTGCCAATACCAAATCTTAATAAGGGTAGGATGTTGAAAGTCAAAAAAAAAAAGCATAAAATAGAATAAGATATTAAAATGAAATTTTAATCAAATATTGTGTGTTAGCTAGCAAACAACATTACAACCCATATATAGCAAAGACTAAAATGCAGTTTTACATCGTAAAAACATCAATGAATGAGAACAGTGGCCATAAAATATAAGGGGTTGGTGTTTACCTTTCTTTATTTTAGGGTGTCATGGTAAACTGACAAGATATTTATATATAACTTGAAATTATATTTTATCTGTAGTGTTAAATGATTGATGAAACATGTCTGTGCAAAAATATCTGATATTGTAGCATGTAAATATATGCATAAATGTGCATGTGTTCAAGTTACTATTATTCATGATCATAAACATGCGATAACACTTGCAAATCCTTTTAATACACATATTAAATTATTCATATTTATTGGTCATAATGCATGCTCCATTTTTCTTGATGTTTATGCTTTCATAAATAGTTATTATTTACTGAGTTTGATTTTAAAATTCACTATTTCATATTTTTATATAACATGTTTCACTAAATCACCAGACTCTCTCCACAAGAGTAGACATTTCAAATTTAGATTAACTTTCGGTATTTTCTCTTTGGTGTGAATTATACAATTTTTTTTTTGAATTGGGTACTTATTTCTCTATTTATAGTTTATTTTTTTTAGTTATTTTTGATACGCCGCCAACAAATTTTCAAATCTTGATAAAAAGTCACCCAGAACTGTAATTTCAACAAATTTATAGTCAAATTGAGTATCTTGATGAGAGGAACCTAATGATGCCAAAGTTAGTCCAATCTGAGTCAAATCAAGCCCATATAAAGTTATTTAATCGCTTTTGGAAGATTTCCAAACATATTTGAAAGGTTAAACAAATGTCAAATATAGTAAATTTATAGTTGAATCGAGTGTCGCAACAAGATGAATCCAACGAGCCCAATATCACTCAATTCTGACATCATTAAAGCATCCAAATGTCTATTAAACAATGATTGATTGAAGGAAGCAATCATAATTATTTGATGAAAATGATCCATATTTTTTATTAATTATATTTATAACACTATAAATAGAGCGCCACCTCTCTCATGAGGGGGAACTTAAGCTTAGAGAGAGCTTGAGATCTTGAGGAGAAGCTACAGCTCAGCATCACCACTGACATCCGGATGCCGTCTTTTGACACTATAGTCTTAAAAATATAGTTACCATTTTCTCTCTGTAGGACATGAGATTTCTGTAATCATAAATCAATAGTAGATTTTTACAATTTGTCTAGGCCCAATGTTTTTTCACTTTACGAATTTTTCACATAAAAAAATTTCTGACATCGTCACTGTTTATACTGAATTCTCGTACAATACTAATATGCTAATAAGATAATCTGTTATCGCCGCAAATTTTTACATCAATTTCAATTTTTTTTCCAGTAGTAAATATTATTATCTATTAAATAAATTATATAATATTTTATTTCTTTATTTTATTAATTTTTTATATATATTTTTTTGGAAAAAATGATATATGTTAAATTTTTTTATCGCTGAACCGAACCCTCGCGATAGTCGCAATTACGCAATTACAGCTACCCGGGAAGGCAACGGCGGGATCGTGGCTTACGGACGGCTTACAGAGACCTGAAACTCCCATCTTGCTTCTACTTCGGCACTGTTCCTACCTGAAACCATGGAGGCAGATGGAGGAAGGTAACCTTATAGCTTCCTTTTCGTGCTAATCGCCGGTCCCTGATTTACTAAACCCGGCGATTTACAGGATTTAGTAAATCTGGGATTTCCGGCCGAAGTCAGTAAATCCGGATTCATGAAATCCCTTGTTTTATTTTGTCCAAACTGACCGTTTAGTTGGATTTAGGTCAAATCCTGCTTTACATCCGTTACCAGACAGCCCCTAACTGTTTTACTTTAACTAATTCGTTAATTTTATTTAGCAAAATTCATCTTGTTATGACTAGTTGCGTTCGATTCCGATGCAGATGCTTGTGTTCCTTCGTTATTCATGTTTGTTTAATTTTTTACTTGTTATTGGAATTTTCTATCAAAGTGTAATTGTTGTAGATAGTATTAAGGGTTGGTTTGGCCACAATTAGGTATTAGTAAATCATGAGAGGATTAAAACCTCAAAACTAGTTGGCATGACAATTGTTAAACCTTGCTAAATGCTTTTGTTTCTTGATGTATTTAAGATTTGTGAAAGTCTGATAGGTAAATGTAATAAACCTTGTGAATGGTGGGATTTAACAAATATTGAAGTCAGCTAATAATGGGGTTGAAAGCAGTTTATTTCATCTGAGAAAGTATGCCTTGTCATAGCATTGACTAGCAAGGTTTATGTCAAGAATATACCTATAATATGATTATGTAAAATAGCTTCATTGAAGTTTTGGGAAAATTGTGAGATGAATTCGTCTAAAGTGGACTTTTATATGTTATTGTCTGATGATATAACACATTTGTGAAGCCCACAATCCATGCAAAAATGTGATATTCATTTTATAATCTCTCTTTGTTTGCCATGCATTTTTATATTTCTTTGTCCATATTTGTGCGTATATTCATTTATCTGTATATATTTGTATATTTTATAAAATTTTTTCCAAAATCAATTTGTACTAAGGGTATCCAGGGCTAGTTCTTGAATCAAACTCTAAACATATCATTACTTGCACCTTGTCATTTGGTGATGATGATGTTGCTTATCCTTTATTTAGCATGAGTTATTATGCTCGTAATAGGTGATGGATATGGACACACATTTTTGGTGAGTAGCTTCTGATGATGTTATAGATGTGGAAACTTTGATACAAAAGCATTAAGTTGCTTTGCAATGGTAATCATCATTTTTTGACCTTCTTTTAGATTATTTGAAATTCTATTGTAAATAAGCCATGGGTATAGTTGTTTTGCAAGGTCTTTTTTTTTTTTCTTAAAATATGCAAACAAATGCACCCTACATATGCAAAGCCTTGAACCCAAGACTTATTGGTTGAAAGATAAAGTTCTTAATGATTGGGCCAAGATAACTTGCATAATTTCTCATGGGCCTCTTTAACTATACTGATTCAAGCTTCCTCTAAACATTGATGGTTGGCTCCTCCTCAACAATATCCTTTAGAATTTCATCCTCACAACTTAAGATAATTGCACCATGAGCCTTTTTAGTAATACCTCATCGGTTCTTTGCATTTGCCTTTTCCAATGCTTCTTACCGTAGTATCTAAGCTTTGATGGATGAGCAATGCCTTCATCTTTTGCCTTTAAAGATTGAAGTCGTTTTGCTCCCATAAGCTTTTGGATCACCAATCTCATTAACAATATTTTATTTTTTTATTATTGGAGCCCTGGTATCAATTGTATGATCGAGGCTATGCGAGGAATACATTTTAACATTTTTTATTGAAGTCCCAATTGAAATTATGATTTTTCTACTCTATCAGATTTGTTCTTTGCTTGAGGTTCTTGAATGTTCATTTCACCACAAAGCCTCTTCATCAGCTGGTTCGATTTTCTTCTCTACTTTTAGGTTTTCAACAATGGTATAATTATTAAAAATTGAGTAGACCCTCCAACTACATGCATAAAAAAGTAGCCCTAGTGGTCTCCATGGCCTCTATGCCCAAGGTGACAATAATGATAATTCTAGAGGATAGCGGTGAAAATTGATTTTAGCCAAATTAGCCAGTACTAGTAGAAATTGGGTTGTAGACTTAGATAGTTTGGCCTTGCTTTAGTCTTTGTCAGAAAAGCGATTCCACAAAATCTAGAAGCATCAAGACGTTTTATCAAGTGGTTGATTATATTAAGGGAATCCGACATTCGCTTTCTTTCTTGAGCTAGGCCCTCATTGATTTTTTTGTGAAGTGTACAATAATCCATAATTATAAAAAAATATTCTATACTTAGCTTGACCTCATCCAAAGTGAACTTTATAAATCAAATAAACAATTGTTTGGTAGTTTTCGAGTATGTTCAAATCATTGAAGGTATTTGAGTCTCAAACAAGATTTTGATATACTTTCAAAGGAGAACTTTCAATTCATAACTATAATGGGCAACGAGCATAAGGTTTATTGCCCTATATGCTACATTAAGAATGGCTTTTGGGAAGAATCTTACCTTAGTAGGAATTCTTTGGTTGCGTGGAGAAATCTAAATTGATCCATCCTAAGTACTTTCCTTCAATGGTCAGAAGTCAAGATAAAGATCATGCTCCTTGGATTAAAGACCAACACACTTTACACTAAAAAATGGAATAATTCAACTACATATCTAAACTATATGAAAAACATGTTCGCTTTCTAGGTTAGTTAGCTCTCCAAGAAGCCAATATTTTGATATTATCACAAAAAAGCATGCCTTCTATCCGGCTCAACGAATTCACTTTTCAGCACAATTTACTCTTTCTCGGTGACTAAGAATCTCGGTTCAATGAATTGTGATTTCAGATGAAGTTCATTAAGATAGCCTTTTAACACATTGAGTTGTATAAAAATTCTAGTATTTACTTAGTGGATAGAGTGATCTTCCACTATCCGTCAAACCAGTACAAAACCTATCTATTGTGGGACTTTGACCAGGGTAATTTTTCTTGGAAGGTAAATAAAGTTATTACACCTTGTAAAAGAATTATAGATTGAGTTGGCATATGTTCCAATATTCTAAAATTTTTTGTTAAATTCTTTCTGTATTAGGATGAGTTCATAAAATGATAAACCTTGTAAATAGAAGTTGAGCAAATCTTGATTTTAATTGATTAAGAAAGCATTCAAGAACGATTTAATATAACATGAAATCTTCATAATAACAATCTAAATAGAAAGCACCTATATTCAGAACAAGGAAAATTCAACTCCTTGTTCTCAACTAGTTCTAAATCAAACAAGTTCTCAACTTCTTAACAACTCTAAAATGTCATCAATCTTAACCTTTCCACTAATTTTCCACTAACTCTAGAAACAATGCTACCACCTCCCCATCATAGTTCTACATCAAACAAGATGAAGGCCTCGAGGAAGTCTCAAATGAATCCCAACAAGGTGCTACTTTTTGTTCCTCCACATTAACTTCAAATATTTTATTACGAGCTTCCTTGGCATGGTTGAGAATATGACTTTGATATCTTGAGAACTCTTCAATTCATTTATAGTATCACTTCATTTTACCCCTCTCAATAAAGTATTAGATATAATAGAGGTGGATAATTTAGTCATATATAATTTTTACAAACACATTTTCTAGCTTTACTAATGAGGATTGAATAAGAAATAATATGCCTAACTTGTTACAAAGATACACTATGCATAAAAATCTTTTAGTAGATTCATTATAACCATTAATAAAAAAATATGCACATTTGAAATCATGAAAATGAATCATTGTCTAATAAAATTTATATATGATTAATACATGCTAGAATTTTTAAATTGCATCATGAGCATTTTTATTTATGGTACTTTCAAAATTATATATCTAAAATTCTAAGATAGTAGACAAAATTGAGTCACACAACTATGACCCTCAAGCTCATATTTTTTGCTTGAAACAATAGTTATAATATATAATGAGCTAAAAATTCATCGGCATAAATAATTCCAATACAATAGTCAAATTGCAAGAAAGAAAAATAATAATCTTGAAACTAACACAAGCAATATTAATCATATATATAGTTAGTTTAGTGCAATTTTTTAAATTAAGATATGCTTTACTAATTAATTAAGTAAATGCTATAATCATAAGCAATAAGTTTAATTATTTGCATGGAAATGAAATATACCTTCTAGTGTCAAATTATTTAATTTACTATATTACTCAGTTACTGATATGAAATTACTTGCTCTATTTTCACATCTTTTTTCAGTTTTGTCAGTTATAGTCTAAGAAGTGTCATATTCTGTCTATATACATCATGCATTTTGATAATTTGTTTATTAGCTAGCATTTTGGCCATAATAACGATCAATAAGGTTCGAACTTAATCCAACATGGCAGTCATCTATGGCTTCTTGATTCAATGTTGGATTTTATGGCACCAATTTTTCATTTTTTGGGGTCTGGGAACCCTTTTTGTCCCCTAAAGCATGCTTTTTGTCAAAATTTTTACCTCTCCCTGTATTAGTCATTATCATTTGTTAACTAATGCAACATAACATGATCTTTGAAAGATTTTGTTTCTAACGTCATTATCATATGCATTTAAATTTTTTGCATTGAAATGCACTTTGACCAGTCAACTTGCTTTAAACTCGTTGGAAGATATAATGTAACATGTAGAAATCGACATTTAGGTTTGAACATCCATTATATTTTAGTAAGTCATATTAAGATTTGAATTATATAGAACTATTGTGAAGTATTTTGAGTAGATTAGAAAGTGTAGTAGCTGTAATGATAACATCAGAGCTACCATTAGCGGGTTAAATATGAAGGGAGTCTATTCACTTACACATAACAATTCAATATAATTACAATAATTTACAAATCTAAGAACAATTTGCTTTCTATTTTATAGATTTAGTATATCATCACCAAGTTAAGATTTTTTTGTGATGAATTTCTTATTTTTAGCTCCTAATGGTTTTTCTTTTCCACAAAAGACTTAATAAAACACCAAATTTCTTAATTGAAATTATTTTTTGACTTACAACTTTATTTTTATATCAACTATCCTCAAAATAATGTCTTTACTT